TGAAACATACGACAAAGTTTATCCATTTCAAACAAGCCAGGAAAACAGATAACTAGTCTTGCATCAGGCCCCGCAAATGTCCAATTTTCTGTCGGGAAATACATAAATATCAGAGACATATTTCATAGCCAGAGGCCAAAAATGTCAAAATCGATATAAAATCTAAAAAGGATAAAATGTCCCCTCGAATACGGTACCTAGGTAATTAAATCTAATATTTCATAGTTCCCGCATAATAAGCATAAAACTTTCATTTACCGCTGTATCGAAATTCAAGTGATCCCTTATTGAAGTTTTACTAAATAATTGAGTTTGATCATTTAATGCTGTTGGATAGAATATTAGGCTGAAAAGAATCAAAATTTTAGCCCATGTCTAAGCGAATGGTATAAATTCACATAGTTCTGATTACAATGAGAATGCTAAAAAAAAATCCTGGCATTTCCTTTACTCTACGTTTATAATCACGTATCATGCTTATTAACTAGATCAATACAGACTCGATTTCCTTTGCCCACCTTCAACATTGTTATGTAATGACGGGAAACAGTCACTGTAATCTTCTAATCAGCCGTTTGTTTTTATTGTAATTAGGAAACTAATCAATTTTGATTTCGTATTGTTTCAATGAACAAAAAGCACATTAGTTCAGCATTTCAAGGAAGGGGGGGGGGTGTAAACAATTACTGACTGTCAAGTACATGTATCTCTCACGAGGCCCTATTTCCACAACCCTCCACTCATGCATACGCCTATCATATAATGGATAGGGAAATATATAACATTCCAACAGATACTGTCTTGACCTCCTACCCTTTTACACCGGGTCTCTTCTTGAACCCCTCCCATATTCTAATGTTTCTCGAAACTGCTCATGTTAACTTTGTAAGGCAATGTAGGGTTTGCTACGGGTGTGACTTGCAATGTATAACTTACTTGTACTTGTATAAGAAATAAAAACAAATAAACAAACATAAAAACTTGTGCTCATAATTAATACGGTGATAAGCAACAAAAGGTTAAAATAAAAATTTTCAAAAACAGCCATGCACTACCCTGCATTTTAGCTGAAATTAAGTTTATTCCAAATAACTTATGTAACGAAATGGAAATGATTCGAAAAATAACAATTCGATGAACATTTCACAATGAAGCAAACAAAACCAGATAGTAAAGAATTATTCTAATTTAAACCGACGTGAATCCTCAACCCTAAAGAGTTTTCGTTTTCGGTCAGGGGGGGGTGCGATTTTGCCATAAGCAACACAAAAAATTAAGTTTTCTTTTGAATTTTACAAAAATTGATGCAACTTCCTTCAAAATTGAGCTAGAAGCTTCAAATAAAAAGCATTTTAAAGCTCTTTTCTACCTCTATCCAATGGTCATATTTTCAAAGGTTATGGGGGGGGGGTGCGATCGCACCCATCGCACCCCCCCCTGGCTACGCCCATGCTGGTGACATTTGAAAGACTCTAATTTCAACAAAACAAATCAAAACCTAAACAGGTTGACGGTCGTTGTAGATTATAGACCATGCTAACAAAGTTTAAACATTTTATTTACGGCTTATTTAAAACATGCAAACGGGTGTATTTACTGAAGGAATATGTTAGGAAATATATTTAAAGTGTATTCATGCCTGCAATCATCGCTGGTCACACCTGAAAAACAACTTCTTAAAATACAAACATAATTCACTGCACTGCTGTATACGTCTACCTGCTCTCAAATCTAATAATGAAACGAAAAAAAATAATGCATGCCAAACTTTTATCTATTGTAATATTATCTATGGTTATTTCAAAGTTTTACTCTTGCATCAAGCAACTGTGCCATTTCCCCAACAGTCCTGTCTTTAAGGACTAACACTTTACTTGAGGCAAGATGCATAAACTTGAACTCCCTGGGCTATTACTCAATTGTCACTGCTTGTGTGTCATACTCATTGGCACCTGCAAAACAGAATAATATAATAAGAATAACATCATGATGATATCAGATATCATATTTCATTTGGAGCCTTAAATATTAAACAAGGCATAAACATGAAAAATGTCACCACCCGCCATTTGTTACAGACGCTGAACGCCGACCCCAGACGCTAAACACCGTACATAAAAAAGTTGGAGACTTTAACAATATGTGACCACTTTTGGTGGTGACATAAAAAGGGGAAGTCCCGTCTTAATAAAACTCCTGATTTCCAGTTTTTTTGTAAACATACACCATTGCATGTTGATGGTTCGCATGATCTGCAGGTCACGATGACAAATGAATGTTACGTTGTCAATAGAATGTAGGCTAACTAACTTTCACGTAAGGTAGATTCCCCGGGTAGATTCGCGAGATTCGTGATTATTCCCCCGGGATTAGGCTATTCCAAAGCAAACACCAAAGATACCAAATCGAACTCCCAATGAATTATTGATCGTATCTATCCTAGGGCCTATCATTTCAATGTAATTTAAAGGCTTACAGGGGTGCTTCAAAATCATCCCTGCGGCCCAAGAGTAATTCATTGCATTGTGACATTCATGAGCTGCTATGAAAGCAGTGAAGGACCGATCTTGAAGGATGCTTCAAAATCGGGTTCAAATTGTAATATTGAGGCCTACTAATCTTTCATAACACGTGACGCATTCTATATTAGCATTAAGAAATGAGAAATGGGCGTAGGAGCGGAGTAAGAGACCCAGGATAAGAAGAACCATTGGGCAAGATGGCCCACCAAGTTTGTTTATCATCAAATATACATCGCCTGATATTATCTCCTGACAGGGACAGCATCGATCTCAATGGCCATTGCACTTTGTTTCATTTAGGCGGCACCTTCTCCAAGAAGAAACTCTTTTAACGGCACCACTTCTGTAAGTCTGTGGTAAAAAACCTCCCGTCCGAAGAAGTTATCTTACAGAACGGCCCCTTTTGACCCTCGGGGGCCCTTCTTGCCCTGCCATGGCCACACAAAACCATTTCCAGTAGTGACATTTGCGAGTTAATACCAATAAGAATAAAACGGACCGAATAAAACCAATGTCCTTTTTTCAATAAACATGGCTACATGTATATTTAAGTTTATATACCCATTCGGGGAAGACAATATAAATAAAACAATGTATTTTAAATTAGCACACAGAACAACTTTTAAATAATTACACATTTTTATTAAATTTTTCGAATTCATTTGGTACGCCTGTGCGCATTTGGCGTAATATATGCGATACGCCAATGTGAGTGTTAGAATAGAAACATACACATCAATTCCAATTTTCGTTTGATTCCTGTATGATTCCTGAAGGCTGGATTCATTTGTAAACTATATTGCATATGAATCCTGCTTGAATCCTGGCTACAGGATTCATTTGCAAACTACCTTCTATATGAATCCTGTACGAATCCTGAAGGCTGGATTCATTTGTAAACTATATTGCATATGAATCCTGTATGATTCCTGAAGGCAGGATTCATTTGCAAACTACCTTCTATATGAATCCTGTACGAATCCCGAAGGCTGGATTCATTTGTAAACTATATTGCATATGAATCCTGTATGATTCCTGAAGGCAGGATTCATTTGCAAACTACCTTCTATATGAATCCTGTACGAATCCTGAAGGCTGGATTCATTTGTAAACTATATTGCATATGAATCCTGTATGATTCCTGAAGGCAGGATTCATTTGTAAACTATTTAAACAGCGAATCCTGTATGAATCCTGGAGGCAGGATTCATACAGGATTCATATGTGCATATGAATCCTGTATGAATCCTGACTCCAGGATTCAGTGGTTTGATTCACATTTTTTGCTGTGTAACATATTATACCATAGCATGTAGCATAGTAGCATGACATGTAGCATAGTACCATAGTATGATGCATAGTAGCATAACATGTAGCATAGCATGTAGCAAGATATCATAACATATAGCATAGCCTAACATGTAGCATACATGTTGCATGGTAGCATAACAGGTAGGATAGTAGCATAACGTATAGCATAGTAGCATAACATGTAGCATAGCATGTAGCATAACATGTAGCATAGCATGTAACAAGGTAGCATAAATGTAGCATAGTAGCATAACATGTACCATAGCATGTAGCATAGTAGCATAACTGTAGCATAACATGTAGCTTAGTAGCATACAATGTAGCATAGCATGTAGCATAGTAGCATAACATGTAGCATGGAACCATAGCATGGTAGCATGACATGTAGCATAGCGTGTAGCATAGTGGCATAACATGTAGCATAGTAGCATTACATGTAGCATAACATGTAGCAAAGCATGTAGCATAGTATGTAGCATTGCGTGTAGCATAATAGCATAATGTGTAGCAAAGCATGTAGCATAACATGTAGCAGGGAACCATAGCATGGTAGCATAACATGTAGCATTGCATGTAGCATTGTAGCATAAATGTAGCATAGCATGTAGCATAGTAGCATAACATGTAGCATAGCATGTTGCATAGTAGTATTACTGTAGCATGATATGTAGCTTAGTAGCATACAATGTAGCACAGCATGTAGTATAGTAGCATAACATGTAGCATGGAAGCATAGCATGGTAGCATAACATGTAGCATAGCGTGTAGCATTGCGTGTGGCATAATAGCATGTATCATAACATGTAGCATAGCATGTAGCATAATGACAAATAAGAAGACCAGATTAAACCACAATTTATTAACAAAAAATAAATAAAATAAAAAAATAAAAATAAATAAATAAAAAATAAAAAATAAATAAAATAAATAAAAATTAATCATTCTCACATCACAAGTAGCCCATACAGACCGGCCCAGGAGAAGCCATTCAGAATTCCAGGAGAACCCATATAGAACCCATACAGAACCCCAGCGAACCCATACAGTAACCCTGGAAATGTTTTATATTGATATTATGCTAAGTACGTTATATGCCACGCTATTCAATACCTTAAATACATAGAAACTCGTAGTATAAGTATATTTTCTTTTTAATATCCTAATAAATGTACATTCAGTATATAAAGTGTTATTCCATCATACACTACTGAATGAAAAGACTTAATTAGGTTCTCGAAGATGTAACATTTTAGTTCGTATTAAATTCAATTTAGCTCTTTAATTTATAGCGTAGACAACTTACATTAAATTATAAATGTTTAGATTTGGTAGTGTTTCATTTACATTTCGTAATCAATTGCTACGTCGAGCTGTCTATAATTTAAACAATTAGTCACGTTGAAGAACTTTATTTATTCCAATATACAAAACTGTGGTCTAGATCCAAAAATGTCCTACTTGAAAGGTTATCAAAAATGTTTTTTAAAAGAAACGATTTACGTTCGTTGTTATTGTTCAGTAAGTTCATTATCAAAAATTGTCCTGCGGTTCATGTATTGACAAACGTTACATGCCCACATCCCCATTTGATTTAGATGATCGTCGTGTAATGTAGCCAGACAGTTTTTCTCAGCCAGTGCCAAAGGCTCCATGATCAGCCATATATTATTTAATAAGGCATGTATTTGTTGAAATGTTAAACAGATACTCCAATTCAGTTCGTAAATCTGCTTCTCTTCGTTGTACCTATAAGACACAATTTCTAACGTTTTATAATTCCTAGAAATTGTAAATTCGTATCCTCTACCCAAGTGTTGCCAACGGTCTAAACCCCCGTCTAAACCATTCGTCCAAAGCGCCTGGTGATCATACTGTGGGGATGTGTTGCTGTCTTTAAAAATATGGTCGTTCTCTTGACAGCTTTCTAGGAAATAGTCGAATTCCTGTCTTGTTATCATACCTGCACTCGGATCAGATGATTGCGACTCAAAAGGGACACTTAGTGTTCCATCATCCCGAGACAGTAAATCAAGCACATCATACGTTTTTATAAATACACGATCCCCTTTCTGGAAGAGAAATGTTTGTTGACGGTATGGTCCTGAAGCTATTTTCAACATCTTTGGAAGCTCAGTCTCTAATGGTTGAACTATGGCTCCCCTGCCCTTATTGACATCTTGTGATTTCAAGTGAAAAACATCCATAATGCTTCTGATATAACTCCTGTAATTATCAAGTCTGTTCCATCGAGGAATAAACTCTCAATCCAAGTTTGTAAGTCATAGAATTCAGCAGGCTTTCTATGGTATAAAGCTATATTCACTCTATATTTACCATTTGTTGGTTATTTCCTAACTACCACATGAATGAAGTTAACGCGTTGTTGCAAAGTGGTTGAATTAAGCTAGGAATGGAGAGTGATGCTCATATTTTGTTAATGTTGAAAACAGCACTTAACGTCATGATTTTGTGATAAGGAGGAGGAATACATCCAACGACGTGGGCAATTGTTAAGGTAGATCAACCTAAGGGTTTATGTATATTCACAAAAACTTAATGTTTACTACTAGCTACTTCGGTATGTCTATCGTCTAAGTATCTCTACTAGGGCATAAAACGAAACTGGGTTAATGAGTGTTACCTAAAACGATAAGCCGATCCCATGACGTCAGCATTCGTTCCTTTTTGAAAACGTAATACAGCTAAACTCCTAGATGCATCCTTTTCACGTGTCATGGGGAGGGGGGCACTGCAGATTCCATAGATAGCGCACTCTCAGTCATCTCGTAACGTGACTACACCTTCGGTACAGTCAAACCTACATATAGGCACTCATTACCACTCGGCTTATTCCGGAATTTTACGAGAATCTAACCCTAACCCTAACCCTCCTAACCCTAACCCAAACCCTAACCCTAACCCTAGCCGAAAAGCCTAACCCTAACCCTAACCCTAACCCTCCTAACCCTAACCCTAACCCTAACCCAAACCCTAACCCTAGCCGAAAAGTAGTCCTAACGTGAGGACTGTATGTTTTCTTTTACGCACCCTTTACTACTTAGTTGTACTAAATAATGATATAAGATGACGTCACAATTTGAAATTCATTTACGAATGATAAAACTTATGAATGACTTACGAAAGTGTTCTGTTAATGGCCAATTCGTAACTTTACGAATTCGTAAGTCATTCGTAGCTTTTTAAATATTTACGAATTTCATAAAGTTACAAATTACTAATTCGTAACTTTGCGAAAGTTCTGTTAATGACCCCCTGAGGACTTTTGAGATATTTCATTTCAGTTTATATTACATGAAATAAGGGTCATAAAACTTTTGAGATTGCATCACCTGTGTCTGTGTTTAATATCTAATGGTAGTGGCAACATAAATACATGTAATACATATGTAATAAAGGGGGGGGGCATTAAGAGGACATAAATAACAATCACACTTATTGACACTTGCAACTCTTCCTATCAGATTATCTTGGATCAAAAATCTTACTTCATTAAATCAGAACACACTGATAATGAAATATGTGATGAGTATAAGAATGATGAAAAATGACTAAAAGCATAGTTAAATGGCATATTAATTAATTACCAAGAAATGTAAACAATGACGTGTATCGTCAAGTAATTGATTTTTGGTGTGACTCCAGGGGAAAATATTATACCAATATATATCATACACCTACATGTTTATTGATTAAAAAATAAAGAAAAGCAGTTTTAATAGAATTCTGCTTATAAATCACCTAAGGAGAACATCTATCTATAGAAAATATACCAAAATAGACAGAACCATACTTAAAATAACAATCTATATGTATAATGCAATATGTATAAAAGTGAATAAAATCAATAAACTTTCCTATTAAGGTATTTCCATACTTTAACGAATTGTTGAAAAAAATATATTAAAGAAACGTCACTCTACAGAATTGTGACGTAAGCAAAGACGTATTAATTTTAATTGAGCTGATTTGAATCATAAACTGTAAACGCTAATTAGTAATTTGTAGAGATGACACATCAAATCAATATGATTAGTCAGTTGAACACAGAGACAGAGGGGAGCGAGAGCTTGAGATAAACATGATATTTAGCAAGAAATATGATAAAAGAAGCTCAGAAAAGGTAGCCATATTATAAATACAAGCAGTGATTGGAATATAAGATGTGCAAACATGTAATATAACTTAAGTGTTTGGAATAGTATAAATTCAGAGCATGTATCCCAGTGTGGATAAACTATGAGAAGTAAATACTCCACCAATAAATGATTATTGTATGATGGAATTATAACATAAGGCATTAACGTGACAAAATGTCACCACTTTGTAAGTTATTGCGAATTGTGACAGATGCCCAACGCAAAATGTTAATTTAAAAGATGGTGAATGCAAATAACCTAGATGCGAATAGAAATAATCTTGATTTATGTCATTAAAAATTCACAATTCAGGCAAACTGATGTCATAATTGGAATCTTCGTGTAAAATTACGTCCAAAAATGTGGTTTTGAAAAGAGTTTATCAACTTTGAAAATTTAATTTTCTTTGAAAATGTGACTTCTAGGTCGGGGAGATTATATATACATAAGGGTAGTATGAAAAGTGAACCACTAAAACTGATGAATATTCAAGTTTAAGGGAATTTTGTAATACCCTGCCATGTTATTTCCCCTGCATCAGCCACCTGGTGGCAAAACTGGTAACTACCTACTCGCATCTGAGTAATTGCTACAGATGCCAAACTCCAAATTCCACAAATAAGTTGGAGACTATAACAATATGTCACCACTTATGGTGTCATAAAAACTATACTGAACTAAACAATGCAGAAATTGATACAGATTACATGCCCATATAAAAAAATCAACTCTTCTCATTCACTAGTGGAAACTCAGTGCTATACCTCATTAGAATATTTAGACATTTTAAATAAAAGAAAGTAGAAGAAATCATAAATCAAACAACACAAGAAGATCCTGTTGTCCAAGGAGAATCATACATGTCATACTTGATAACCTTTGTTAGCAGGAATTCATTTACATTTTCACATTTTCTCAAACCATAGAAGTCAGAAACGCAATTAGCTACAGATACCTGTTATTTATGAATTCTGAAGTCAACTGAGACCACAGTACTTCTTCTTGGGATAATATTCAGTGCACAAGCATAAATGAAAAATGGCTTTAGTTTTCTTGGTATTAATAAGCTTAGTTATAGTTCAAGTGTATTGTATTTATCTTTATTTTATGCTCGATTGTTTTACTGTTTGCTTCAATAATCTGCATTAATAGGTCATTATAAAAAAAACATTTCACAAGTTTTTTATTTCTTATGGCCTTTAGGTGATGTAGGTTTCTCATCTTGTTTTGATGCATCCTCCTAAGCAGGTGTCCAGAATCCGTATCTCCTTAGATAGAGAATACGGTATTCTCACTGGATCTTGGAGCCCTGCGATTGTAGGATGGTTTTGATGAAGTTGGTTATTGCTATCTAAATCACATCCCATCTTCGCACGCTTGGTCTTCACTGCATTCATTAACCGTTCATTGACACTTTCTTTAGTCATCTGAGAGATTTCAGTGTAAACGCATCAGAAATTCAGGATTAACACATTAATATACAAGATCTCTAAGATATACTTGTGACAGGTGAAAAGATTAGAGCTGCGATTAGAACAATGTGTAGGATGAATCACCTGAGTCAATATGACATTGAATTCTACGGCTAATCGATAAATAAATCATATATCACTAAAGAGTCAAGATTGGTCAATATGACTTTGAATTCTACGGCTCATCGATAAATAAATCATATATCACTAAAGAGTCAAGATTGGTCATTATGACTTTGAATTCTACGGCTAATCGATAAATAAATAATATATCACTAAAGAGTCAAGATTGGTCAATATGACTTTGAATTCTACGGCTAATCGATAAATAAATCATATATCACTAAAGAGTCAAGATTGGTCATTATGACTTTGAATTCTACGGCTAATCGATAAATAAATCATATATCACTAAAGAGTCAAGATTGGTCATTATGACTTTGAACTCTACGGCTAATCGATAAATAAATAATATATCACTAAAGAGTCAAGATTGGTCAATATGACTTTGAATTCTACGGCTAATCGATAAATAAATCATATATCACTAAAGAGTCAAGATTGATCAATATGAATTCTATGGTTAATCGATAAAATTTCGGTCTTTATTCCTTCAATAAATCATATATCACAAAGAAGAAATTGGTCATATGTAAGTGAAAAAGATTTTTGTTAAGTTGCACCAATCAGACAGAGAGACACACATCGGCTGATGATAACAATAAATAGCAAAGTGTGATTAAAAGTATCACTCCTACTTATTATATTGGTTACTTGTTATCACACTCCTGAATATCCCTTGTTTACTATTTCCTATATCCAATGTTAATCTCAGTTGATCTTCTGATGTGTATTTTAAATCAATTAATGTTATTTTGGTTGTCAATGCTAGAGTTGATTATAACCATGTTGGTTGCCATAAACTATCAATTAAAATTAAAAATTAGGTAAAAGCGATGTGGAAAATATTTACTGTAGCTATAGTCACTTATCGTTTCTCTTGAAAATGATGCTTTAAATTGGGTGATAATTTAGCAATCAAAAAATTTTGTTAGTTTGGTTGTCAATGCTAGTGTGGATGATAATAAGGTTGGTTGCCAACAAAGCATCAATCAAAAAACAAGTTGAATACCCTTTGTAGAAAATATCTATACTTATCATTTCTTACAAAAAGATTAGAAGTCAAGATAAGATATATGACAGCAGATTGTATGGGAATGTTCAAATCCTATAAAAATATATCAACAAACCATCTATTTCCATGAAGTCTTCAATAACAATGCAAAATGAGTTAGATTACACAATACATGGCATGGACATTCCAATACATCTTAGTATTTATAACAATATTGCTATTATTCATCTCTGCATTCGAGTCAACATCCTATTTACATACCAGGCCTGATCCCTTTTATTTATTTCTAAGCAGACAAGGAGAAAACAATTGAAATACTTGTACCTTGATGCTTGTAACTAGAATCTTGATAACTAGTCACTCTACCCTCCCATCTCACTATTATTATTATAAAAATCTCAAAATCCAATCAAAAGATTTTCTGAAATATGGCAGTGACATACTATCGCGAGCACAAAATAATGAACTTTTTGCTCTTGTTGTCAACTTTTTAATAAAGAACACATAAGATCAAAGTGTCATATCTCTATGGGACCCTGCAAGCAAGTATAACCCATTCCTACTACTCCCTCACTGAGACCATGACACATGAACCCAAGCCTGTCCAATTTCCCA